ATATATATATATATATATATATATATATATATATATATATATATATATATATTAACAATAGATACAAAACATGATGTAAATTTTTGACTTTAGTTTACTAATAAATGGGAATATCTGTTTAAAAAATGTTGTTGATTTACCATATAAAGTGTTGTATTTATAGGGAAAGTTTTCAGTTTATGAGCAGTTGAGCTGAATTCCTCATTTATTGTTTCTGATGTCTATTGTGGAGAAAAATCTACAACAACACATAATGCCTTTCATTGCTGCAATTTATTGAAGTGTATTGTTGATTTGTTTCCGTTGTAAATTTTAAAAAAGTGACCCAAAACAAAAAAATAAAAAAATAATTGATGAGAGTACACAACACAACAGATTTACTAAGTTATACAGTTACAGAGGAAAGGAAACCCTTAAACCTTAATTTGATTGATTTGTATTTTGTTTTTGAGAAACACTGTAATGTTGCTTCAAAGGTCTAAGATACACGTCTGATCTTCATGATGATGGATTTCATACCAACAGTGAAACTGTTCTTCCAGGTCTTCCATATATTTCCAATGGCATAATGGGTGGAATCTTCACCCCATAAATACACACCATTGGGGTTTGCTGCGTGACACGTTTTGTACCAAAATCCCCCGAGATACTGTCTGGCACAGTTAGTTGCATTAGAGTCTTGATCCCTGTCAAAGGTGGAGAATTTCTGATTGCTGTGTTCGGTTAAAGAGTCGCCTGCAGAGATGAAGAGCATCAGTTTTAACATAATTTGTAACAGGCTCTCGTTCTTCATTCTTTAATGAATATTTGAAAAATGTAAACATTTTATGTAATGTTATTTTGAAGAATGAGACAAATATATAATATTTACAATGTGGACATGAAGAATACTTCACTGAAATGTGACGTCAAGAAAAAAACAATCAAAAGTATATGAACAAGTGTGCATTTACGCAATTGATAATTGTGAAGAAATGAGTATGAATGACAGTGTCCTACCTGCTCCTCCAGCCTTGAATCCTGAAACATGCAGTTTATACCCATCAGTTTCAGGACCCACAGAGAAGAATGAGAACAGAGCAAAATCTTTCCTTCCAAGAAAGTCTTCCAGATCCACTCTCAGCATGTACTTACTGTTGCGTGTCAGCTGGTACATGTTCTCCAGCCCTGATCAAACACACACATGAAGAACACGCTCAACCAAACACTGGACATGAACATCCACACAAACACACATGAAGAACACGTTCAACCAAACACTGGACATGAACATCCACACAAACACACAGATGAAGAACACGCTCAACCAAACACTGGACATGAACATCCACACACACACACACATGAAGAACACGCTCAACCAAACACTGGATATGAACATCCTCACAAACACACAGATGAAGAACACGCTCAACCAAACACTGGACAT